GATCACTTTCCCATCCTTGTACCATTTCACTTCAGTCTTGGCCTGGGACACCTCACATCTCAGGGTGGCGCTCTCTGTCAGGGAGGCCTTCACCTCCTTCTGCACCTTCTCCTGGTTTGCAAACACATCCTCTCTCTCTGCCATGGAAAAGGAATTAGAAGGACTTAAACTTCCTCACTGATGTCATCCAGAGTCCACAGAGGGAGAAGCTGACAGCTCTGCCCCCGAGGCATCTTTCGCCGCATGTTTCTCACCTCTGCCTGACCCCCGCCACCATCAGTGCAAGTCCATATGCCATCTTAACTATGGACCTGCCAGCACCTCTCCTTTATAATAATCCACCTCCAATCCCCAGACTCTACCTCTCATGATTCCTCTGGAGCGATCTCAGATCCAAATATGAATTTATCCTCTCAAGCCTCCCTTTAGCTTATTTAGCTGAGATGTTCCTTGCAAAGCTTTCCTTCCCCTTTGGTAGGTGAAAGGACCAACATTTCTTCCCTCTGTTGTTTTTTTCCAAGTAAATGAAGACATTGCAGAGAACCCAGGAGGCACTGATGGATACCAAGTATAAGTTCAGAGTTCCAACCTAGTTTGTAAAATGTTATGCTATTCCTGCAAAACACCTACCAACTAAGAAGATTCAGGTGCTTCCCCATTTTACTTGCATACTCTGTAAATGTATACACAATATTGTTGCAAAACCCAAAGTTCCCTCAAAAGCCTCCTTCACTCAGAGCTGAGATGCCAGCAATGTAGGAAGTGCATCTCACTCTAGAATGCTTTACTCAACAACTGCAACAAATCAGTGCATGAGTAGAAAGGAAACAATCCCTCCCACCTGTGATGATAATCTTGAAGGTCAATTTCTGGCCTGCGGCCTCACAGGTATACTCTCCAGCATCTTTCTTTTCCACCTGCTCCACGACCAGATGCCGGGATTTGTCCTCAGACTCCACCCTAAATTTCTTGCTGGAGGTGATCAGTTTCCCGTCCTTGTACCATTTCACTTCAGTCTTGGCCTGGGCCACCTCACAGCTCAAGGTGGCACTCTCTGTCAGGATGGCCTTGACCTCCTTCTGCACCTTTTCCTTGTTTGCAAACACTTCTTCAGGCTCTGAGATGGGGAAATTAAAGAAGAACCACAGAAGGAATAAATCTATCATGGCCAATGGACTGTTACATGTATCTAGTGTTTTTACAGAATAAAGTCATTCGTTTGATGAAACATGGTTCTTATAGTTCCAGACTCCATTAACAGCATGTTATAAATGAACCCTCTACCACACACTCCCTAGGTTTCTCCAAATCCTTGGTATCTTGGTGCTCTTTTTAGGTAGGCAGCCCTGCATATTTTCCAGCTTTCAATATTAACATCCAAAAACTGTTTCTTTTGTTGTTGTTGTTGTTGTGTTTGGGGGTTTTTTTGGTTCATCTTCTTGGGGATAAGCCAACTCCATCACATTTGCAGTGCTGCTGTGGACTAGTAATATGCCATTGACATCCGCTCTCTGACATCTGAAGTCTTTACATCAAGATTGGGTATCTTCCTATAAAATATGCTCTAACTCAACCACAAAATATGGGCTTAATGTAGGAATTAATGGGTGGAATTATTTGGCCTGAGTGATGCAGGTCAGACTGGATGATCACGGCAGTTTCTTTTGGCCTTCAAAATCTATGAATGTTGAGACACACATGGTACATTCAGCCGTGTAGCCTGGGGATTTTACCTTAATGTATCTAGTATATTTGGCAGCAAATAAAGTATTTAAACACCTTTACTTCCAAAGTAGAACCTTAATACTTTTACCTCAGCAAATGAACTGGCATTGAAAGGCTATCACGACTAATAAATGATAAACTAAATATACCCATTTAAAGGATATGGTCAGCCATCTTGCTAACCAATGACTAGCAAGTCACAGTTTGATAATCTCCACAATTTATGCCATAGTTCCCATTGCCTGTCTGAGAGTGGTTTATATGGAACAGTTTCTTTCTTCCTGCATATTGTACTTAATGTTGTTTTATATCTTTTCATTTATATGTTGATTTATGGTCTGCATTAATACATACATGAAAAGTGGTATGATTCTCCTTTCCCACCACTGTAAATCAGAATTGACTGCATTGAAGTCTAAAGATTGCACTAGTATAAAATTGATGTATGGGAGAGGAGAATCAGGCAGTAGGTATTTAGGGACAGATTTTTAAACAGTGGCTTCCATTTTTGCATCCACTATTTGTGCCTACAAATAACTGCTCATGCAATTTAGGAGATTCACACATTTAAACTGATTTACAGACACAGTCAGTACTTAGACATCTAAATGTATTACAATGGATGCAAATTATTTGCACTCAGAATTACAGGGGCAAAAAAAGTGGCCCAGTTAACACTGGTCTGAATGTTAGACCTATGTGAATATGGACTGACTAGACGTATATATTAATACAATAATTCATAAAACAGCTCACATAACTGGATGTCATCTATATGAATGATCAAGTAACAGGCCATACATATTACAGATTAACGATTTCATCCCCTAAATCTTACTTTTCTCCTTTAATATTGGGGATGTTACATATTGTGAATAAATTTGCTAATTGCCAGTCAATATAATTCAATATATTGAATTTGCTAATTGCCAGTCAATATAAATTTGACTCTGCTAGGGTCAAATTTATCCCAAGGGTAACTCCACTAGATTTCTACTAGGAATGAATATGACCCTTACCATTCAGAAAGGGACAGAAATACTTTTAAAGTTAAGCAAGCTATTAAATTTCGCTGAGAAAATAGACATATTATCAGATCCTCAGCTGGCATAGGTCAGTGTAGCTCCACAGAAATTGCGTATGATGATTTACACCAGCTGAGGATCTGGCCCCTCTATATTAGGATTTTATGAGCATTCACTGTGTACAATTAACTTTAAAACCATGTAGACTGCAGAACCAACTCCTTGGTGCCCATACATGGTCCAGTGCACAAGGTTGTAGATGCTCGGTTCTTGTTTCCCTTAACAGGAGGGCGAGTGGCTACGTCCCTGGGGGGTTTTCACCTTCTTCTGCAGCATAGGGCATGGGTCACTTGCAGGTTTAAACTAGTGTAAATGGTGGATTCGCTGTAACTTGAAGTATTTCAACCATGTTTTGATGACATCAGTAACTCAGCCAGACGTTAGGACTCTATTATAGGAGTGCGCTGGCGAGGTTCTGTGGCCTGCAATATGCAGTAGCTCAGACAAGATGATCATAATGATCCCTTTTGATCTTAATGTCTATGAGTCTATCCCAGTGCGTCACACTGAATATTTACCCCTTTAAAAGGAAAGGTTTTGTGCTTCAGGGGGGGCCCTGTCGCATAAGAACTGTGAAAACCAATGTGAGTGCAATGGTAACCGGATAAATTAAGACCCAGAAAGTCACTGCACTTCTGGAGAATCCAGTAAAATAAAGATTTCTGCAACTAAGGCACCAGCCACTGAAAAAGAACTGATAAATCCTTCCTGACTTTCAAGGTTGGATCAGTTTTCCAGTGAGCTGATGATGGACCTGCATGTCACGTTACAGTCGCATGTCTGCGAAACACAGCAATGGTAACTGAATAGTGCTCTCTGGTTACGACAGGGGTGGGGTAAGATGCAGCATTATCCCATGCAGCTCTGAAGTCACCCTGTTTGAAAGAGAACTGAAAACACTAGGGTTCTCATGCAAACAGCACTCAGTCATTCTGAGGCCTGACCAGGGCAGCCATTTTGTCCACTGGCTACATCTCAGAATTTTTCTGGGGCCTTGCATCTGCAATGGCAGACCATCCGGGTTTTTTCAGAGTCCCCACCACACTTTCATTTTTTTAAATCAACTCCTGCTCTGCATTCTCCTCTCTGAAAGCTTCCTTCCTAGTCTGAGCCCCACTGCGGCCATCTTGGCTGAGTGAACTCGGGAACCTCCCGAGCTAAAGGCACAAGCTGCTACAGCTTGAGCTAAAGAGCCCAATCTCTGTAGCCGAGCTCTGTAACAGACTCACCTTCTCTGAACACGTAACACCCTGGCCAGTGGGTTATGGTGCACTTGAAGCCACAGCAGTGTTAGCAGGGAGCAGAGATACAGCATGTTGGGGCAGCAGTTCCCAAAGGCATTCTGCTTACAGAAGACTGAGGCAAGCAGAATGGCTCCAGGGGTGATGAAGGAGCAGCAAAGATTACACTTTTTACACTGGAGCTGCACCCCGTATTGGCTCAGACCCCTAGTGGACACGGAAGTAGGAGGGCCCATGGCCTCCCAACATTGTGGCTCCATTGCGTGTCTAATAAAACATTATTTATTTGTGTTACAGTAACACCCAGAGGCATCAGTCAGGATTAGTGTCCCGCTATGCCCGGTGCTGTACAAACACATAGGGAGACATGGTGCCTGCTCTGATAAGCTCACGATCGAAACAGACAGTAAGTATGAAGGAGAGAGAGGGGGGCATACGACATACAAGCACAGGGATCCGGGGATGAGACCTTCTTTATATAAAGTAAAAAGCAATTAAGCACAACTGCCTCTCTGCCAGGCGGAAGTTAGTTTTTGTCTTTTCAGTTTTAATTGGGGAGCAGACAAGGTGACCATAATGGTCCCTTCTGATTTTACAATTTATTAATGAATTGTTACCCCCCTAGCCTAATTTCTACCTTGATTAATAACCACACTGAGCACATCATGTTTGCAAAGCACTTTATGTTCCACAGCCTGTGGAGACTGATGCAGTGAGGGGTAGTGATTTAGCCCAGACACACACAGTAAGTCCCACTGGGACTCGAACCCAGGTCTCCCAAGTACTACCCCCTACGTTACTGGTAGCATTATAACTACACGGCACCTTGCCCCTGTGTGGGTTCACAGGGAGAAGAAAGAATTTTCTGTCATCTACCGCACCTGCAGAAGCACACCCAGAATCTGTCCCTAATCTAACCTAATACCAAATAAATCACTGGAAGGTTTTTGTTAATGTCCAAATTCCTGCTGTTTTAAGACAGTAAGAACTGTGCTGGATTGGATCACCAGTAGCCTGCTTCTGGCAGTGGCTTATACCTGATACTTCACCAACAGGGGAAAGACAGATAACATAGAGTAGATGAAATGGATATGAGACCAAATAGATGAGAAGAGATTGATTATATTGTCAGATAGCGAGGGTCAGATTATGGGAGGGAAGTGCTGATATTCTTTGCTCCAGATGCACCTATAATTCCAGAGCAGATGGTGTTTCTGCTGAAATGACCAGAAGTGAAACAGTAATGTTGTCATTCAATCCATCATCATTAGTCTTCAGGGTTAACACCATTCCCGCTCAAACTGTTTATTGCAAATAATTGATCTGACTAATGTATCCCTCTTTCAACTGGCTAATTATCCACAAAGAGACTTGGATTTGAAGGAATCTATTTGTTACTCAAAACTGTCCACTGAACTGTTTTATGAAAATAAAATTCAGCATCAGGGACTGTTTGCTGTTCTCATTATTTGCCATTGATGCCATGGAGCTCCAGAGGCTTCTGGAGCAGCAAAAAGCTGGAGAATATTGGCAGGTGCTAGATCAAACCGGCAGATGTTCCCATCACTTCCATCCAACTGAATCTCATTTTCAGTTTATTTTGAAATGGCTCAGGATATGTCAGGCATATCAATGCCAGTGTGAGGCCTTAGCTGCTATTTACTGGACATCTGAACCGCTTGCAAAATGATTAAGATACCAAAAGAAACCCCATCACTGTCAGAGTGACAGAAAAATGTAGTTCCTAAAATGTCCAGAGGCTCAAAATCAAATGATGTTTGAAAGAGAAAAATCTGCTTGGGTCATTGCTCGTTGTTCCGAGAATAGAGCTGACCTTGTACAGCCACCTTAAGATTCCCGTGGGTCCCAGATCCATTTAGAGAACACGCTAGATGCCACCGTCACTGGATGAAAGGAGGGTGGGGAGGAAAGCTGGATGAAAGATGTGCGCACAACTTGTGTGTGAAATCCAACTCACTGCTCATTCCAGCCACACACACGTATCCATTTTTGTTCACTTTGCCACACATTTGAGGACTTGGGGAGGGGATTTTTTTAACACAGTA